TTATTATTATTATTATTATTATTATTATTATTATTATTATTATTATTTTGTGCAGCAATTACCTGCATGAATAGGAATTATATTTTTTGGAATGCTTGGTTAAGATGGGTATAAATAGGAGGATGTATATTTTTTCTTATATAATAGTGACAGGGCATTCCTTGTTTTAAACAAAAACTGAAGATGATTGTCTCTAAATGCTTTTGATTTGTAAATAATGGAAAGCCTTTGTTGGTCTCAGGAAGAATTCAAGGGACAGTATCTTGTGTTTGGCTCACTGGGAACTTGTGAGATTAGATGTGACATTGCTTTATTTGCTAGGCAAAGGCAAAATGCATTTAGCAGTAATGGGCAAAAATAACTTTACTCCAGTGTTTGGAGGGTAACAGTGGGAGTGGTTGCCTTGGCAAGTTGTGGTGGAGGATGTTGAGACCATGTTGTAGAGCTGTTCCTTGGACATTGTCCATCTCTCAGTTGTTCATCTGGACCAAACAGACTTTATAGAACTGAATTAGAGGCCTGATCCAGCTCCCCCTTAAAACAAACGGAATTCACAATGATTACATGGGATTTAGTGCTTTTGGAGATTTATCTTTGATTTTACAAAGGTAGGACTGGGAGTTTTATAAACCTGCACCTTTGTCTCTGATTTAATTCTATCTTTTGAATTGCTTTCTGTGTTAATTTGCCATACAAACCCCATCTCTTTTTGGCACTAATCACTTCCTGCTGATTCTACCATTTTGTGCTCTCAGTGTAAAAGCAATAATCCTTTTTTTTACCCTTAAAACTAGATGGTGTGTGCACAGCTCTGAGCTCTGTATGCTGATGGATGTTGATATCCTTTCAAAGAGGTACCTATAAGGAGCATTAATAGGGAGAAATAAGGAATGTCATTCCTCCTCTGTTCTCTTCTACTTGGCTTTAAATTATTAACTATCAAATATGTTCATGTTCTTCACGTCTGCCTTTCAACAAGTAAATGAAAAGCAAGTTATCCGTGACTTTGACTCCTCTATGCAGTTTCCTTTGGGCTTAGAAATTGCTGTGGCATGAAATCCTCCATTAAGGTTAGGGAAGAAACAACTTAGGATTCTTAATGAGGATGGATGAGGATGGACTTTTTCAGAGTAATGTGTGGGGCATGCTGGGGGCATTAATGCTGCGCTGCCAGTACCATGTCCTAAGGCAAATGCTGATGGCAAAAGGATTGAAGCAAACATACCTAAAAAAGTAGTTTCAGGATGTGTTAAACCCCCTCTAGTGTTTGCTACCTAGAAACTGGTTCCTGTGAGAGTAGCCCATGGGGTTCACAGTGCTCTCCAGATTCACTTGCTTCATCTTTGCCTGTGTCATCCCGGAAGTGCAAATAAATGCAGATCTCTTTTGCTGCTATGGAGATAAGAAAACAAATGCCTGGAATTTAGACATCTATATCATGTGTCAGGTGGAATTCTGCCTGCCTAGCAAAGGAGAATTTTTGTAACAGGACTTTTAGTAAAACCTTTAAACAGAAAAAAAGCAGTTTAATCTTATAAAACATTGGTTAACCTTTTTTCTCTTTTCCTTTAAGAAGAAATCACTATTTCTGCCGCATATAAAAATAGTTTTTAAATGTTCTGTAAATCATGTTGGACTGGAGAAGTTCAAAACTTCACATACATTATTTGATTTGTTACTAAATCTTCCCTCTGGAACCACATATGAAGAGTAAATTTTAATACATGGGGTATTTAACCAGGGGAGAGACTTACCTCAGCATGTCATGGGTTATCTGCCACTTAGACTCTTTACATTAAAACTCAATTGCTTTATAATAGCTCTGCTTTAGCTTAGTTGAAGTTTATAGAAGTAGTTGAAGAAATCTGTGTATGGTGATATGAAGGAGCCAGAGTAGATGTCCATAGCCATACTTTTAAGTCTAAAAGCTATAATGAGTGTGTATGTGGGAAAGTGTTTTGCTTGAATGTATCTGCATTCCTTGGGATTTTCAAATATGTTTTCTTATTTTTATTTTCTGACTGAAGAGCCCACAGTTCTGTCCAATCTGTTCTTTCGTTAGACGCAGGATCTTGAAGTGGCATGGAAACTCTTTCCTTTGCAAGGAGACTCCTGCAGGACTTTGCTTTGTGAGCAGCCAGAGGCACAAGAACTCAGTAGACATCACACTGTAAACATCAGTACACCAGGCAAAATATGTCTCTCTCTTTAGTCATTTTTGTGGCTCTTGACTGATGTGTGAATACTGACTTGGGCTGTCTGGAACTGGAACAGACATCATCATGAAAGGGAAGCTTTTGTCCCAGGTTAATCTCAGCTTTTCAGCTAGACATGAAAAGTCAGTCAGTGAAAGGTGAGCTGACTTTTGTCAATTCCCTCTGTGACTCCTTATTGCCCTGTATAAATAACAGTTTTCTTCCCACAACACTACTTTTCACAGAATATTTTCTCTAGTACATGATTTGTTTTATTCCATTTAAGACACTATTTCTTTCAGAACAACTTCTCTTGCTCGCTACTCACTCCTTTGAAACTCAGCTAGAAGCAGGTAGTATTGGTGCTGCTTATGACTAGACATTCTATTGTCTGCTATCACTTTGTGATGCACTCTCATTCCCCGGAGTCTCATTTCCCCTACCCTTCCCTATTATTAAGCATTAGAAATAATAATAATAAATCAGATTAGTCTATTTATGTCACACTAACGTGCTCTTCATCAAAACAACACAAATTTAGCTCCCTGCTGTCGACTTTGATTATATAACAACCCTATTATCCTATCATATTTCATATTATCATCAAAGGGAAAAGTCAGTTTGATCAGTGAAGCACCAAAATAGCTTTGACTGAGCATGCTGTGATATGAGAAGGAAAGAGGAAACTTAACAGAACAATGCAGGCACAAGTCTCCACTTGGTCTTCATTACTGCATAAGGGAGATCCTGACTGATCTAAGTGGCACTGCTTTGCCAGAACTTTGTACATGTATCTGCTTTACAGGGGTGACTGTAATGGGACATCTTAGAAAGTGTGTGTGGATGTTACTTCAAGAGTCCAAAATAGCTTCTAGGTAATGAATGGAGAAACGTACAGTGACCTTCAGCAATAGCCTTCTGTTTGAACTCCTCTGTAACAGCTCATTAGGACAAAATAGACATTAAAAAAAAGGAAAAAAGAAAAGAAAAAGAAAAGAGGGAAGTAACCAAGTTAATCTACTGTATTGTACATTTTCAGATTAGTTTCCTAGTGGTTTAATCAATGAAATGCCAGTAATCAAGATTATTGTGAATCAGACCTAAGCAAAGTAATTCCTTGTTTTCTCTGACAGATTCGAAAGATTTTATTACAGAAAAAAAGAGCTTGATTTGTTGCTGAAAACTTAAAAAAAAAAAAAGCAGTCAGTGGAACCAAGGTGGAGAATGAATATGTTCCAGAGCTATTTGGTGTGTACAGACCAGAGGGCAGGGGCTTGAGTGGAAGTAGCTTTTAGCTGAAGTTTATATCCTCATTTAACTTTATGTAATATTCCTGTTCATATTAGGATCTAATTAAGACAGTCATTGAAAATCTTTATGAGGAAGTGGGATGAGAGAGATATGTTGGAGTGTGTCCATTACACTAATGTTATAGACTTTTTCATGCATATTTCAGCAAGACACTATTACTGACCGGAGTATTGCACAAATTACAATGAGAATCACACCACTGCTACTTCCATCAGCCAAAGATATGTAACACTCAGAGAACTGAAAAAGGAAATATTGTCTTTCTGACCAGTCTGCCTGTCATCTAACTCTGATATAAAACTTTATTTTGGGAACTTCAGCAAGATAAAGCATTTGAAAAGGATTAGCCATCATAACGATACACCAAAATTGAAACAAATGGAATAATGACATTGGACACAGAGAAATTGATTACAGATGGCAGGTGCCCTGGGACTCTTATGTTAGTTAATCTGAGCTCAGAAGCTGAATTAAACCCAAGAAAAAGTGATGGAACCCTTTGCCAAAATGCAGTTTTCAGTTATTTAAGATGCGTATAATGAATATGGTAAAGGAATATTCACCCAAATAAAGTAGTAGGAAGGCAAAAAGAAAATTGAGAAAAAAGAAATTGTTCTCAACAGCAGAAGTAGTTTTGTTATTTCCAGTTGAAACCACTGTGAGGTGATGCTGAAGAACTGTTACGCTTTCATCTGTGTAGAATCAGTCTGGGAGATTGACTGTCCCCTTCTCAGTCCAGGCCGACACCACAGTGTTCCACTGACTGCTGCTGATAAGGAGATTCATGGAGTTCCTGATTCTCCAGTCCGGTTTCTGCTGCCATCTCCATTGAAACCAAGATTTTATTCAGCCAGCCCCTCCTGAGCGGTGCTGATCTCTGGGATGTGTTATGTTAATGATGCTATTTCCTCCTCCTGGTGCTCCCAAGTGCAAGAGCTCAGTAGGACATAAGCAAACTCTTCCCTTATCTAAAGCCTGCTGTGGCAGGGCCTTCCTCTGAAGCCAATTGATTT